GTATTTCAGGGCTATTATCTTCTTTCACAGACTCCTGCAGCTCTTGATTCATCCATTTGTATTTACCTTCCTTATAATATTTGCGCAAGCCATGAGTCTTGATGGCTGGGAGCCTCGGTCTTTGCAAGGCAACTTATCTTACTCGTTCTTAGGCCACAAGAAATTTGTGATGTTTTTAGTGGAAGACTGGCTTCTCTATGGCAACTGGACATTTGTCATAGCTTGCTTAGGCCTTATACCAGTGTGGTTGCAGATGTGGTTGGCATGATTGGTCCTTATATTGTGCTTAACGCATTTGTAGTTTTCTTAAAAGATGTTTTGTGCGCATTTGACACGCATAGGACACTTCAAATAATTTGTCGTGATCGTAGATGTAGGGCTGGCTGTAGGGGCTTTGTCCTATAGCCCCCTTTGGGATGATATAATGTATCATTTAATAAATTGCAATTTTTGATTATGTGGTTGTAATCTGTGTCACCTGAGAGTGTGACGAATAGTGAACACAATTGTTTTAGTAATGTTATGCATACAAACACACGTCTTGCTGTGGGAAATTGAGAATTCTGATTAATAATAAACTATATAAATTCAACAGACAATCATTATCATATAAGCTAGTACGAGATTTTGATATTAATAATATGTGCATAGTGATTATGAGATTGAGCTTGAGGTAACAGCATTGTTTCTGTGTTTGTATGGATAGGTCGGTAGCACACTTTGCAATGCACATGACAGTGTTTCGAATTTGGAAATTGTGGCAGATGGTCTATTAATAAAAAGTTACTGCTAAAGTCAACCGATGAATCATCCCCTCAAGTTCTCCAGCGTTACCCCTAACAAGTAAGACGCTTCTATAATCGTTCCCCATTGGCAAACAGCATATGTCATCCTTGTGAGTGCCTCACCCATTTGCTGCTCGACTAGAGCAGATACTGCTTGGCAAGAAATTCAAAAGGCAGCTGGCTCTTTCTGCTTCATGTAAATCTGGAATATAGTACTTTTGGTTGATGTTGAGAGAGAGAATGACAAAGGTGATTGGGCCAGATGGTTAACTTGGTCGTACCTGGTTTGCTCCCCAACAGGAAGGAAGGCATAACAAAAGAGTAGTGAAAACAAGAAGGAAAGAGAACCTTAGCATAAAATCTCGCAGATGTCATATGAAACCTGCTGTGCAGTTTTGGAATGTTACACATCATAATTTAAGTTTAGCTATCAGTCATACAAATATGTATTTGTTGCGCATGCTTCCTTGTAGCTGATCCTGTTGCCTCGCCTACTGTTTTAATTTTAGGTGCTATTTTGCATGTAATATCCATCACCACTTGATAAAGTTGGCGCCTCGAAGGTAAGTTCGTAACAAAATAAATAATACAGCTGATGAGAAGTCCATTAGTTTCAGTGGGTCAAATTTTGTGTATTCTTCATATCAATGCATACTGGTGGCTTCAACAGCAAGAAAACCACACTAGGCACGCGTGCACAGTTGTGTACCTTACAGACTATTGATTAAGCACAAGATAAAAAAAAAAGTTTCGGTGTGCTTAGCATTCTTTGGGAACTAATGAAAATTTTGCATCCCTGTCCAGCTGCTTTCATACCCATGGTCGCACATGTGTTGTGCACTTTGGACTGTGCGCTACACGAGAGCATTCCGACCAATTCGACATTTGATATCTTTGCCAGTGATTCCCGCTTCTATAAATTCACTACAGTTCTCACAGTTCAAGACTGCTGCGATATTCGGCTTTATGCAGGCTGGCTGCTCTGAAAAAAAAAAAAAAAGAATCGCGCAGCAGAGAGCAGTAGTCGGGGGCACAGCAAGGAATTTTTTTCCTTTGGGAAGGTTGCCGGGGCTCATCTATATGTTTGTGCATGTATTTGTGTCCGTCATGTATATATGCTCATAAATAATCTAAACATTTCATAGGAGGTGTTGGGGTTACCTCCTAAATCGACCTCATACCTGAAGGGTTCCTTTGGAAGCGAGGCGGACAGGGGGTTGCTGAGCTCCTCATTTTCCAATTTTCAGCTTTCGTTTTTATGCTGGACAGACCCAACATCCACGCCCATCAGTGCTGTAACTATATGTATTGCTTCCTTACCTGGACGCTTGCCGCATGTCAGCTGTGAACACTGATCTGTTACCTTATCGACAATAACACTTATCGCACATTCTTTAAATCACGTTCCCATTTTTCGTTCCTAAACAGCTGTTCTATGTCTTTCTTTAATACTCGCCAAATCACAGTCCGCGCTGGGACCGCATTTCATTTGCTTCTGTACCGTATTTTTAACGGTTTTTCAGTGCTTGATTTTTCCGCCATGAACTTTCTAGACCGTACGGGTTTCCGTAAAACCCTGAATTTCAACGAACTATTGTTTCAGTTATATCATGTTTGATTGCCTTGTAGTTTGCGATGACAACTCGAGTAAGCGAACCAAAACTCGCGCCACCGCAAATGCTTTGAGCACTTTCTCTTTCTCCCCCCTCCCCATTTCCCCTTTTCTCGCTTCCGCACTTGAAGAAGAATAACACTTACGAAATCTTGAGTGATTACTTTACTACGCGCAGAACCTCGCAGATGCGAATACAAATACCGCGGCGCCACACACTGCTGCAGAAAATTTCGCGCGAACACTAAACAAGTTACTGAAGTGGGCTTCTTCTTGTAGAGAGTTTTACTGTGGAAAAGCATCCTTTACAAGTTTGTGGGAGCTACATACGTTTTCATAGGCTTGGTCCGCTTTTAGAGCGCGTCGAAGAAAAGTGGGCGTATCAGAAACCTGACAAAGGGCTTATATACATCTAAGTCAGCTGTTGCTGATAAAATACCTAGATAAAGAACGCTGGTATTTTGATCACGCCACGTGGTTCTCGCTCCTCGCATATCAAGGGTGATCCAGCTGATACGGGCCGATCTATAAAACTGGCTGCTAGATGCGGTTGCGTGACCAACAGAGAAGTTTAACGGAGGTGCGAGGCTGTGACTAGTGGTCACAAGTCGTTCTTCGTCGACTAAAATATTGTATCTATCGTTAAACTAACCTGCACTAAAGTAATATTTACTGGTGTAACGACGCACTCGTCATTACACCGGTAAATATTATTTCATTGAGTTCAATGGTCAAGTTGTTTTTCAAATAACATGAAAAAAAGCTGTAGTTTTCAGTCCGTTGAACCTATCGTATATCTGTTTTTTTATTCTTCTGTGTTTCAATGTTGATTGATTGATATGTGGGGTTTAACGTCCTAAAACCACCCCATGATGATGAGAGGCGCCGTAGTGAAGGGCTCCGGAAATTTTGACCAGCTGGGGTTCTTTAACGTGCACCCAAATCTGAGCACACGGGCCTTCCGTTTCAATGTTAAAGAGCAAAATATGAAGTAAAGAAATAAGAAGTGAGCACAAGCGCACGTTCTTACAAAAGTAGCGCTCTCACAGAGGTTTCCTCAAACAACTGCACTAAATGGCGAGGAGGCGATGCTCAGCTGTTGGCTAATGCTCAGAGGAAGCAGGCCCGCGATGCTGTAAGCTATGGAACAGCGCTCACTGGCTTTGCACAATGATAAGGCGTATGATTGCGCTTAATACCTGCAAGCGTTTACACTGTGGCCTTGTCGTTTTCGCTCGGTTGCCAATCCAGCAGGTTTATAACGTCGGCTTCTTTTTTATCTCAGTTCGATGTGATATCACCCTTTGTGCGTACTCGAGTGAGCGTAAACTTGTGTAGATATCTTCCTGATGGAAACAATCGTATGCAGTTGGAGGCTGACTAAAGGTGCATTCACTAACCCATATATTCCAAAGTGCTCCTTTGTCTAAGTCGGTTTACAGCGTCGCCCGCGATCTAACTGACCGGGATGCTTATACAAATGGCCCTGACTGCGCTGGACTTACCTCGCTACACAAATTGGCCACATACAATCTAAACTCCCTAAAAACTTCTATCTGGGCAGAAGAGTTTATCCGCACCGCCACGCAAACCTCAACAGAGTTGAAACCATAACTCCAAGGCAGCCAAAAACAAAGTCGAACTACTCACTGGTTCAAACCAGGAAGTAGTACGGAGCAGAAAAAATAGACATTACATGCAAAGCTTGCAAATGAAGCATATGCACATTAGATTTCATTCTCTGGCACTTAGGCTCACTGGTACCTGGTATATTACGTGGTACAGCTTTGAAAGCCCAATGTAATCACCAACTTATCACAATACAGTCCATGTGCTCCAGTATACGCTCACGACAGAACCAGCAGACTTGACTTCCCGGTTCGTCGTGGGGGTAGCCAGACTGGTAAATTCACGTGATGCACCGGATGTACAATAAAGTTCCCAAGAGGAAAGGACTTACTTGTCCTAAATTCAATATACCATAATTTTGTGCATGCGCTGATGGGCTTCGCGTATGGCACAAAGGTTTTGCGTACTCGTGGCATTGGCTATGGCATACTGCAGCCGGCAGCAAGTTCGTGGGTTCAGGTTTCTGGCCTCGGCGGCTGCATTCTTAAAGCGGCCAAATGAACAAATAAATATATATAGCTGAAAAAAAAAACAATCGTTTATCGGGCATTCGGCCCCTGCGAGAGAACCCCACGTGGTGAAAATTAATACGCCGCCATCGAAGTCGATGTCTTACAGTCGCAGCACTCGTGTTGGTTTGGTGCGTTAAGCTCAAGTGGCACGCTTGAAGAACAGCGCTGTGGTGCCTTATCGCGGACGCGCTGTACTTTCGTGTTAGGTGGCCCGTTCGTAGAAAAGTTCCAAACGTCGCACGTGCTTCAAGCGTCATTTCCTGCGAGGCAGTGTTAGCATCTAGAGTGGTTCTAGTGTCTCACCTTTTGTGTGATGCCTGTCATATGGCGTGGGTGCACCTCCCCTTCTATCCTGCTAACTGTGGTCGCACGCACACATTGACGCGTTTTATACGGTGAGTGGAAAAAAAAATCGGTCGTGATTAAATCCACACTTGAGGTCGGGAAGAAACTTACAGCACAAACGGGCATAAGTTCATCTTTATTATGGTCAGTTTGGTGTCTTTCGAAAAGGAGCGTACACATCTGGTTAGACACATCTCAAGGTCAACAACGTTTGGTATTTAAACAGCGTGGCAGCTATATTTTTTCTTGTAGCTAAAGCGGCAACTTTGCATACACCGAAAGGTATACCGAACAATGAGACACATCAGACAAAAGGAAACATTTCTTGGTAAGCACAAATAACATTGTAGTTCGCGAGCAAAACCATCTTTAACTGCATGCACATGAGGAAGCGCTTGGCAACACAACTGCTCATCGTCACTAAATTAAGCTTGCGCACAAACAATTCACGGAGCGGCAAGAAAAACCAAAACGAAGACTTGTACGTGCAACTTCCAATGCAGAGAGCAAAATGATACGAAAGAGTTCCACGCACGTGAATTATGTCCACCGTGTTGTTTGATAACCACATCGCGAGTTTCTGGCGCCATTCAAATGCCTCGGGCATGGAGCCTCCGAGAGCGCAAATTAGAGCGAACAGTATATCAGCCACGAGACCACATCAAAGTTGTCGCAGGATGTGATAATATTTGATTGATCTAAAGGAGGAAAGTTTGTGTTCATTTTTGTGGAAAAAAAAATCAACCCTTTTATATCGTGGTCCAACTTGCATCTTTTTTAGTGGCATTTAAACACGTGACTTATTCAACGTAGAATTAGTGTACGCGGTGCATGCTCGTGCGCTATATGTAACTTTAAGTTCAAGACGCCATGGCCTCAAATGAAACTCTCACATGTGCGAAGTTCTAAACAATTTTTGGTGGTGCAAAAAATGCATGATTTTCACTAATATGACTCATAAGCGACTGAGTATAAACTTTATTGAGCTCCCGAGGACAAAACAATGCTCCACCAATCAATCCGGTGACTCCACCCAGGTCGGTGCTCGCTTAAATTCTCGCTATATGTATGTTTTTAGTGGCTGTATGATGTGGCACGAGTAAAACTCTGTTGCATCAGATGCCACAGTATTGATCATGCATATAGCTGCACAAAGTTGTTGAAATGTAATACTGTAATATATACCACCTGGTCGATAATCAACCTGCAGAGCAAAGAGTCAGCAAACAAGGAGACGATCGGAAGAATAAATTTTGTAAGTAGCAGTCATCAGCGGCATCAGTTTTCGGCCTAGCCTAGGTCGACTGCTCAGATAAAAACGCACGGAAGACGCGCGAGACACGCGTGGCGGATACAAGTGACATGCGCTCGGCTCTAGTAGCGTTCTTGCAGCATGAAGCAGTCAAACACACCATTATTTGCAAATTCGCGCGTGGATTCCTTCAACACGCGATAGGATGCGCTAAACAAAGCAACAACAACGACAACAAAAAGGTTTTGCTCGGAGTTCTTGGTTTCGGCGAGCCGTCTGCTCAACCCCCCTTTAATGACACACGACATTGACATATATTCCCTTACTAACACCTGTTCCTTCGATTCTCCAAAGGGTCCGGTTGACGTATTGCGTTTCTCTCGGATAATTAGCAGGAAAACACCCAACACTGAAAACAAATACCCACGCGCTCGAATTTGTGACAGTGGGTGGGTGCATGTTTCGGAGATGAGGCTATACCTATACTGATTATAATAGCGACATGAGCTGACTGGAGGATCAGGTTACTCGGGCGTTATTCGAGGTCTTATGTGGCGAGGGACGTGCTTACGCTTTCGATTCGGGCAGTAGTAGTAGTAGTAATAGTATTAGTAGTAGTTAACAGTTAACGCAGGGTTTATCTTATTTATTTCGGTGGAGGGGGCGTCTAACGCTAGCGCCTTAATAGGAGCGCGAGGAAGTGGCTTAGCCAGAACGGCGACGAGTGTGGGGGAGGCTCTCTCTCTCAACCGCGAATCATCGATGCCGCGAGACTCGCTCTTCAAGCGTGCTACGCGTGATCAGCGCAGTTCCGACCTGCGCTCGCACCTTGAGCGCCAAGGTTGTCAGGCCGCGCCTCTTCAATGCAAGGAGCGCTGCCGGCGCGCCCCCCCTGGAGCAGGGTCGTTCGCGAGCTTGTCCACGCTCGAGGCCAATAGATGGAAAGGTTCGGGTCGAGTAGTGAAGATGAGAAGGAAAATAGCGGTCGAGAGATAGAACTATGGTAGAGTTGGTTGTAAAGTATTATAGATGCAAAGTGGAAACGGGGGCGACTTTGCCGCAGCGGCGCCGCTTATTTGCCGTCTTCGTCGGCCGAGTGCTTGGCCAGTGCCAGAAGCACCATGGTCAGCTCTTTCTTGCTTATCTTGCCGTCCTTGTTGAAGTCGCAGCCACGCAGTATGGCCTCCTGGAACTCCTCCAGGTCTTGCGCGTCGTAGTCCTGCGCACAGAGCGGTGTATACGTTCATTTTCTTGGGGAAAACAAGAAAGGAAACACCACAACAACAACTTTGTAGCTGTAGTAGCTTTTGGTATTTCGATTATATCGATTAATTAGCAAATGGTTCCCTGTAGAAGACACTTTCAGGACGCATGTTTTTCCTAAAGTGGTACAAAGGCCGCTCTAGCATTCTATATTACTACATCTTATGAGATTATGAGCACAAAAATAAACGCAGCTGAACTAGAGATGACGATGGGCCTTTTACCTTCATACTCATTCAGCTCGATCGTGACCAGTTTGTAGCCTAGATTACATATACATGTACATTGTAAATATTGTTTCGCTTACTTTCAGGAATAATCTGTGGTGGAGGTGATTGATTTAGTAAAAACCACTGAGATACACTGCGCCTCCACGTCAAGATAGGTCGTCTCCAACTATATCTCCGCGAAGAAGACTACAACAGCAGTGAAAATTGTTCTTGATCTATGTCTACAACCATCAAAGGTAAATGCTCTGACAGACCGTGTCTAGAAAAGCGCATCGTCAAGGAAGGAAGAGGGAGGGAGATTCCGCTTGCTTGTCGCTTCTGCAGTAACTTTACTTGAGTAAATAATTCCTGAGACCATGATGGATACAATAATAGTGCTGTCATGTTGATTAGATAGCCGACTCTAATGTAGGCTACCTTACTATGCTCTTTTTTATACTTGAAAAAAATTGAAGATTTTCTGCCCTTGTGTTTCCTATACAGTACAATTCTTTCTGTTATCCGTAACAGGAACGTAAAAGAACACACGGAGACTGCAGCATATTTTTAGTGGTCAAAAATAACAATAATAATGAAAAAATTGTGGCGAAGCTTTGAAATTTGCTAGTTTTAGCTGTCGGTAAGAAAGAAGTTGAGAGAACGTAAAAGTAAGCTTGAGCGCTGAGCTCATGTTTCATATGCACATGGCGTGAGAACAGCAACGTGCGGAGAATGTGTATATGCCCCTAACATTTAAAGAGTGAGTGATAGCTCCAATGTACACTTTAAAGCTTTGGTTCTTGTGCAGGCAGTCGTGCACTGTCGAAGACCAATACGCGTGATGTACGAATAATCGCGTATTTGAGCAAAATGGGGTTTTCTAGAGAGAAAAACACATAGAACATGAGCAATTAAATAATAATAAAACGTTATAAAACATAAAAGAAGGTTAAAAAGTTTTAACGCCACTCTTGACATAGTTTACAACACAACTAATAATTTTTTAAACGTAAAGAAATTTGCTGCCGCTACAAAACTGTATACACGAGTGCCCTGACATTTCACGCTCATAAGCAGAACCAGTTAAATAATCACAGTTTTGTTGGAGTTTCAAAATGCACGTTAGATTTTCTCACTCAATGCACTCTTTTCTTTCTCAATATACCGTTACACCCACTGGTTAAATGGGCGCACGAATCAGAAGACGTACTTTTTTGACGAGTTCCAGAAGGTCCTTAAGAAATCCTTTGAGTTCTTCATTTTCGATCGTGCCGTTCTTGTCCTGCGCAAATTTCAGAGAGTATCCGATGAGACGAGCTTCCCTCACTACACAAGAGCCTGTATATACGCGGCTAACGAAGCTGCATGCTTTGTACGGGGACTGTGGTGGTAGTCCCCGCCCGTTTTGCTCTGCTTCACTGTATGCTGCAAGCACCGTCAATTCTGTACGCAAGGTTGATGTGCAGTCAATGACGTCCGTTACAAGAGTAAAGTGAATACGCATTTTTGTTATTTATTTTATTAGCATTTTTCTCAAGTTTTTCGGCAGTGGACAACACTGATTCTTTGGACGTGGAGAACGGGGACACCAGAATTTTTGCTGAACGAGCTCATTAAGGCGGTTGCATTAATAGCGCTACAATTATTTCGTGCATATCGCTTTCAATTCATAACTAGTGCGGCATGACTGAAGTCTTTCCACGGGCAAAAGGGAAACAAAAAACCATGCCTCTGGTTGCAGCAGTATATAAGTATGCCTCCATTGGCTTTAGCTTTGGATTTAGCCCGAGATATGCAGGCATTAGGGTCTTTACTCCTGACATGTGTAGCCGAGTGAAGATAGTGTGAGTACTAACATCAGCACGGACGCTCCCTCACTCTAGGGTCCCGTGATCACACAGCAAATTTTATTATAATTGTCGGGGTTTAATGCAGAAAATTTCGCACAGCCCTAGTTGGACAAAGACTGCACTGCGCAATTGCAGTCTGTTTTAATTAACGGATGAAAAATCGATGTGAAGGACAGTGATTACTGTGGGAATTTATTACTTTAGGAGTACAGTTTCGGTCGATTATCTCGCACATCGACGTATCATTTGCATTAACAGAGGGTTGGGTGCAGAAATATTTTTTTGGAGGGATCGGGGTGGCACCTTCCTGATTTAAAGGGGGGGGGGGGGGCAGACAGGCAAATGGTCATTTTTCACTATGTATACATGGTGAAGAAAATTTGGGGGGAGGGCTCGGGCCTGGAGTACCACCTTCTGGATACGCCCTTGCATAAACACACAGTAAAAGTGATATCAATTGCGCTTATGGGGAGAAAACTGTTTCATAAAATGAACGCTATGGCTGAAAACGAGGTCAGTTGAAGTGCTTCGGTTGCCCAGCTCGTGCGAAACTGTTTCTGACATATGTGACGAATGCGTCACTGAACGAACCAACACTTACCGCATTATGTTTCACTTACCCGATCGTAGAGGGCGAAAACTCGCTCTATGTCCTCCCTTGTTAACTTACTTGCGCCCTATGTAAAGAGAGCAAGAGCGTCACAGTTTTGAATACTTATTATGCATACGAAAGCCTTCCTGTTAAGAAATTTTCTGAAAAAATACTTTTTAATTCATATACTAATTCTTTTTTTTAGAAATGTTAAGAACATTTCACATGGCTTATTGTGGCAAATGAGAAAAAGTTTCTATTACGATTATTTTTTTTTTCTATTACGTGAGCCTCAAGTTTCTGAAAGTGCAGATAGCCTGCTGTAAGCACAACCTTGATACCACTGCATATCGTTAAGCCACTTATGCTGTCAGTGACAGATGTCGACGTGCAGAGCCCGTACAGGTTCATATAAATCAATACTACTTTCTAATTCTATGGTGCGATTTTGCGAAAGCTTTGCAGAAGCCACACGTGCATGAGTCGACTAACATGTGCATACTCGTGACGCTTGTCGTTGGCTTACAGCGGAAGAGCCAACACGTGCGCTTAGCGACTGCTCCTGCATCTACATCTTCTGCATAACGTGAAAGTATGAAATTTCCTCAGTGATGAGACTTGAGAAGCAGGCGAGTAGAATGCGCTCTAGTACAGAACTGAGTTGATAATGCATCAGTTTTAGGAACAGTAAGAAAAAAAGACATAACATTTTGGCCGACAGTAACTTTTTATTGAAATGAAAAAAAAAAATCGCTTACAGTTGTGCCAGCAGCTCCTTTTTACATAATTGTAAAATAATAAGAAATATATTGCAACATGTGAATAACCCTTACTATTTGTGAAAACGAGGGGCAAGGCTAACAAAAAGAAGCAAATGAAGTTTCTACGTCGTCCTTCGCACTTCTTTCGAGCGCACACTGTCAGACGTAATGCACTAAACAATTCTGTAGGCCAATAAAGATTGATAAAACCTTAACCACGCATGCTAACAATTTTACCGAAGAATCATAAACAAAGCGAGGCCAGTCCGATTCATACGCGTTTTTTTAAAGCGTAGATGAAAAAACAGAACAAAACAACATGCCATATACATTACGCGCAACTTTAAAGCAACATCGTTCGAAATTGAGAAGGCCTTCGCCAATGCATGGCTCTTCTGCACGGCTGCGTTTCTCGGCGTCGGCGTATTCGCTTGCACAATCCCATTTGCAACATGACAGTGGCACACTGCGCCAGACAGCCATGGTGACGCGATGGGCCGAGGAGATTGGCTCTCGCTCGAGTCAAAGCAGCGCATGCTAAGTGACGTCGTTGAAATCAACGACTGCAAAGCAGCAGCTGAAGCTTTCGCGGACAGGTTCAACGTCTAGCACACTGCATTTGGAGGCCAGACGCGATTTTACTTCTCGTCTTCGGCTAGACACATCACGCACCATGCCTCGTGGAAGGCGTCACTCGTACACAGCTTTTGGAAGCGTGGCGCATGCAAAGCGTGCGAGAGCGGCGGTGCAATCAGGACGACGGCTGTGCTGACACTGTGCTTGGCGGAACAGCCGCGTGCTGGGTTGCGCCACTCCTCTGTTTTCGGGTCTCCGAAGCGGGGGAACCTTTTAAGCAATTAAATGCGTGCGCTCGAATACAAAACGCGTCTCACGGACCGTCCGTCGCACGTGTCGCCGACCCCAGTTTTAGCTTTTTTTTTTTTAACTTCGAGGTAACTTACTGCTCGGAAATTCTCCGAAGCAGTCTGACTCAGAGCCCTTTTAAAGCACTTCAGAGCACTCATGTTTGCCCAAGCGCCATTATCGGGATACAAGGGCCAACGTTATAGATCAGGTCAGAAAGTTAGATTACTTCGCGTTAAAACAACGTCGGCTCTTATTCAGTGGGGAATGCTGGATTGTCCGCGCTGAAATGAACGCTTTCTTGCTAGTATCACCACGGTGTCGATGATGCCATCGTGTGCCACCGGAAATGCTTGAGTACATTAATGGATACAATGGTTTTCACGTGAAGGAAACGCGTACATGGTATGCAATTTTTTTAAAAGTTCGGCTGCGGGTTGTCAAAAAAATCACGTCAAGGTGAGTTCACTCATTCAACGTATCGTTAACATCTGAAAGTAAACGCTAGTGCGTCTTGATCTCGATTTAACGTTATAAAAACTTTCTCGCCTGACACGACGGTGACATGGTGATCCTTTCAAGTGCACAGTAGTCCCTCTGCCGAGTACGCTGGTTCCCCTCTCTGCATTTCTTAAACAGCTGCTCTAGACAGTTTCTAACTGCTTAATGTCACTGTTATCGCGAAAGGAAAATGAAATTCCGGCTAGCATTTTTTTATTCGTGCTCGCACTGGTGCAGATTCGATGTGACTTGCAACAGCTCTCATGTTGCGGTGCACGGTTAAGGTTTGGGCCACATGACAAAACAGCACACGCACAACACACAAAGTGGTGCACCAGTGCACTTTTGGGGCAACGATTGCATGCTATCCCGTTCTGAAGTCACTGCGAAGGGGCTTTGGAGCTCGTATAGTTACCCAACTGGAGAAAGAGACCACTTTAAAGGGCGATGCCGTCTGATGTAGCGCGCCGTGCATGTTCTTTTGCTCCGAACACCCGTCGCTATAACAAGGGTACGTGACAGCTCTATTCATATACACCAACAGGAAGTTCTTAGATTACAAGTCCACACATTCACAGCCATGTTGTAAACAACCTGATTAACTCATTGCGTAGTTCTTTTACCTTCTTGGCTTCAGAGTTGGTCGATGAATCCTTGCGGAGCATTCAGCTCTACATTAGATTAACCAGAAATGTCGATTTTGATTATTATGCGTGTTTTTATTGTTATGCGTGGTTAGCCACGACTTCTTTTGTGTGCCTATATTCTTTGCAGTGAACCATTTACTCCATTACACACTGCTTTCTGCATTTAAACCATGCACTGCATTTGAACCATGTAGCGTATATAAAAAAAAAGCTGTGGCGAAAGTCTGTTCAACATCTTCACAGAAAATTGTGTTCACTCTCTCGTAGCCTCGCGAGAGTAGGTATATATACAATGCCGGTGTGCTTCGGTGCACCTGGTGCTGTTGTAGGGAACAACCAACTATTTTAAGGTCAAGTCGATCAACGAAATCCTCGCAATGTATACCCACGGCCTGTGCAAGATGCGGTAACAGACGTATGTTACTTACAGCTTCAGAGTATTTCGTACACGCAGCAAGACTGGTAAACTCTTCTGTCCTCTTACTCTGCTGTTATGTTCTTTATGATGCTAGCACCAAGCGACCTTTCTCAAGGAGCACACCGGAAAATGTCTCCAGCCAACTAGAATTTGAGCGTTGGCTCGAATGTTATGAAGTCCCAATAAAAAGACTTAAAAACTCTTATACTTGAAAGTTCATCGCAACGGTTGGAGATAAGATAGGATAAATATTGTACAGTGTTCATGCAGACATTACGACTTCATAGGTTTGCTCTATTACCCCTCTTTCTTGTCTTTGTCTCCTGCCCTCCTCTTGCTGGCGTTAGCGATGCGGATCACTAGACATATCGAATATGAATCTAATTTACCCAAAGAAAAAGGCCAAGTACTGTCAGGATTACTAATGAATATTAATTGAATGAGATTATTGAAAGAGCCGACTGTTTCATTGTGGGTATGTAGCATCTTGATGGCACATACCCGCTACAAAGATGTCTTCTTTCACTCATCAGTTCACTCGTTGAAGTGGACGATGATTGACAAGTCTGTTCTTGGGCATTGTTTGTATACACTGCAACTATTCAAGTTCACAATTCAAGTTCACCTAAATTGGTTCACCAAGTGAACCAAACGCTAAGAACTAGCGTCACTAAAGACACCTAAATGGAACTTTAAGGTCGCCTATGAAGTTCTTTTTTGTGCTACAGTGCTTCGGGGTTCATAACACACAAACAATGGTGCTCTCTTGCTCTATATGATTGGCTAAAAGCTGTTCATTTCATAAACGTATATAACCTCTACGAAGTTCATTAGATACCTTAATCTATAAAGTCACTATAGATAGAAACATTTTTATTGCATTTCTCTCTCAACGTTTGTCTAAGAAAAGTGAATCGATGACTTGACACATATATCTCGGGCGTCATGTAAAACTCACTTTTCATATACAGGACTGTTCTGTGCACTAGAGCAAAACAGATACGTATGAAGCAGCTTTTATTTTTTTTATTCACTAGAGCGTTTTCGACCACGCGATATGAATGCTTTTTCTCATGCGACAAAGCGTCGAAAGCGTTTCCTGCCCATATAGTGTGTGTAGAAATACTACAGTTTCGCTGGACTGTTGCAACACATTCCGTAGTGTCATGGCGGTGTGCTCTGAACCGTGGCATTGCGTGCGTGGACTGCATTGAAAGCGGGGCGCCGGCAATCAGTTTACTCATTTCTTTCTTTTTTTCTTTTTGTGAATCCTAATTAAGGGACATTATGTCCACTGATGCGCAGGCCCCGAATCTGTCGGATAAGTGTCCAAGTTTTGTACCATGTTATGACCGCAGTGCTGACTCAGAAGCGCAACAGACCTAAGTCGATCACGGCTTTGGCAGCCTAACTTGACCTTCTTCATCGCAAGCGCAAGCACCAATCGAGATAACCACACATACCGAGTTTATGATTCCTACGTCTTCTTTCTCGAAGTCGAGCACGACTTGACAGCACTCTTTGGGTGCGCTGGCGTTAATTCAGAATGGTAGCAAGGAAAAGGTCGACTATTTGCAGCCAGCCGCCTTATAGATGATTGTCGTCGCTCTTGGATGAAGGCACTGAATGCATATCCGTGGCATCGAACTTCAGTTTTTACTTCGAATACCTGCCCAACTGCCTAAGACATACTGCGTACGAGGCGGTTGTTTATTTTTTTAAGTATAGTCGCGTCGTACGCGAGCATACCAAGTATTCAACTATTTCTTAGTCATGGATGCATACGTGTTTCCAGAGGATCATCCACGCGATGTGCGGTTTTTATTTGCGTTATACCAAGAGCACCGTGACGATGCACTGAGAGAGAATGGCTTCGATCAAGCGAAACCAGCGCCTTCACAGCTCAGAGTACGCAATCCAGCTAAACTTTAAGGGTACGGTATTCTATAGGCGGCTTCCTTGAGTGGACGGACGCTGCGTGTGGGCGAGAGCTGGCAAGCGAACTGGGCGGCGCGAGAGCGCTCTACTCTACGGCAGGCGGCGGTGAGGCACGCGGTGCTGTCGGGCAGCTGCAGCACGTACAGACGAGACAGTCCACTACGTGTTGGGGCTACGTAGATCACACTCATATCAGGCATGCCCACGGCACTCCCGTGGTGGTACGTACCGCTGTCGCATCAGTTAGCTGTGCAGGGCAACAAATGTATAGGGCGGGTCAGAAAGCGTGGCAGAGGAGATCGAACGCCCTGTCGGGCAAGAAGAACAAAAGAAGTAGGCTGCTATCGAAGTCTCGGGGGCCGTGAGCGGCCCCGTTGATTTAAGAGAGGCCTCGGTGGCCAGCCAGTTGCCCTTGTCAAGGTTGAAGGTGAGCAAACATTGCCTCGTGAATGCGTGAGCCTTGGTGAGCGTGTGGCAGTCTGCATTTTCTATAGGCTTAAAGAAATCATCGTTATCATTTAGATTTAATGCTAAGCCCACAAAGAGGCGCAAGAAAGATAGTTCGAGCAGGTTGCAACGGCAGGGCTTCGGTGTCAACCACTCTTGATGTTACAAGCTTGGTTGTTTATCGCGAACACGTCATACAGCTTAGCAATCGATGCGTAAACACTCTTCAAATTTTTCGCATGAACGGTATGGTATGTGAAAAAAATATGTCCAAGGTGCTTCCTGAATTCAGTGTTTTGTGAAGGTGCGCTACCAAATGAGCCTGAATAATCACCTCCTTCAGCTGTTCTCCACTTCGCTTTTGCAAAGCTGGTGCGCTTTTGCTTGCACTCCTTCCTGAGCACTAATAATGTTGTGAAAGGTATACAGTGTGCACAAGTGGCGCATCTAGGGGGGAGGGGGGGCGATCACCACCTCCAAAGGCTGTGTCAGCCTCCCCCCTCTTCCTTTAGTGCTTGTCGTCCACATCCTACCACCAATTAGGACGCATGAGTGTGGGCCATGTGAGCACAAATTAACAGCATTTATGCTATGATGGGGTTCTTGTGCTACTAAAAAACAACAAAAACACAGAAGCCTGCCCCCCTATTCAGTGTTACTTTAAGTCAACGCCTCCCCCCCCCCCCCCTTCCTGAAATGAGTGGCTGGATCCGCCCCCGAGTATGCGTGTTTGACAGTTAAACCATCAGTGCGCTGACAACTACGATAACAAGAACTCATGAGTGGCAATTGTTTCATGTTTATGGAAAAACAAATCACAATCATCTGGTAACCCAAGTTCAGCGAAAAGATTCATTTAAGCACTTGATTTCATAATGTGCTATATACTGCGAAGAAAAAAAAAATCGAATTGTGAAACATGTGTAGGGCATATGTGGAAATTCTTGAAACCAAAGAGTAGCAACATAATCTGTGACAGGGACCCGTAGTGGCACACATGCACCGCTTTTTTTTTGTTATAGAATGAGGCGAGTCTAGAAAATAAATAAATAAAACAAGGAAAGTACCACTGAAAGCCACTGCTGACCAGTTAAATGCTATAAAGACTGTCACTGTGAACGTATGATTTAAGCTTCGTATCCCTAAGGTCTTCGAGGAGATCTTTTTGAGGTCTGGTCACACTGTCAGAGACGAGCCATCTGGTGTCGCTCAATTTGGTGAAGGTTCTACTCGGAATGTCTAAATCTTCTTGAAGTGCCGTCTGTGTACTCCACAAACTGCTGTGGTCAGCAGCAGCGTGTGTAGCGCGCACTCTTTAGTGGTAAAACAAGAAAAGATTGATAAGCTGAATCATATATGGAGGTTCATGCTGCTATAGTATACCACATAAATGCTACGAAGTTATTAGTTCATTCTCTAAGCATTCAGTGAATCGACGAACAACAACAACGACAACAACAACAAAAAAGTCCTTCGCTTGTAAGGAACATAGTGGTATTGAGCGCACCGGAAGGTTACATGCTCGAATTCGAATGTAATGTCATCGCATACTAACTCACAGTGTATCTTGTTTTTGAGTGTAAAGCTGGTGACTGATTCTGAGCAATAAAACAAAGATGCTGGTATGTCAATGCATAAGAGCGCCTTTTACCTTAGAACGGTGTTACTTCAATGAATAAAAAAACGTGTTTCATTTTACACTTACGGAATGAGTTCAATAACTATAGAGTGAGCGGAGTCGAGGACCCCGTCTGAATTGAAGTCGACGCTTGCACGTACGTGATACGTAGTTGTGCCTTAACTGCGAAGGGATTTTCGGCTTCAAATTGTTTCAGCTGCGTCTCAGACAAAGTTTGTCTCGAATGTATGCGGAATGTACCTCTGAGTGCTAATACTTTTTTTTTTGTTTAAAAATTGTGCGCACAGGAGATGCCGTGATGCCCTCGTTGGCCTGCTCTTGTCGATTTGTCGAGTCTGTTTGGTCACCTTCAGTAAAAAATGTTCCTTTTACTTAAAAGTTTATTCCTGATGCCATATTCACACGCATGTAAGAAGGGTTGAACGCAGATGTCTTACCTTAAAGGCTGAACGACAGAGAAAGTTTTCTTTTACTGGAAGAAGCCTGGGAGAGAAGAAAGGAAACAGGTGGGAATCCTCAGGTACGACAGCTTCACAACTGTTTTGTATTCATGCATGGCTTTGCATTTTGTCTTTTTTTTTTCGATTTCGCTAACAGCCAGTGGCGGATGCAACGACCAACTACTTACTTGGCCATCTCACTGAGCTGTAGCTTGCCGTCTTTATTGCTGTCAAATATTTGTAGCTGCAAAGAGAAAGCGAGGAGAAGAGGCGGTGAGCTAATGCTGCGCATGCCGTGACACAGGTAGCTGCAAGCCGCGCGGGGTGGCCGACTTCAAAGAGCGACCGCCTCGCGACGTGACTCCCCGCGGCACTCATCGTCCGGAGGGAGAGCTCGAAAGGCCGAGGTGAGTCAACGACAGCGGCCGCCTTTCTCAGCGATCAAAACTGTTCCGAGAAGCGGCCCGCTGAATGGAGCTTGCTTTTTACGCCCGCGTCTTTCGCCTCCATTCAGCTAGTCGGCATTCCGAAGAAACGTCCGAAGCACGCGCGTTCCTCTCCCGCTCCCAGGTCTAAGCAGACGAGAGCGGCCGTCTCTTGTCTGTTGTCGTTCTGGTGGCCACCGATAGCTTCGTTTCTTTTTTTTGAGTGCGCTTATCCTCTCGCCGGACGGCGCACCATTGTCAATGCCGTCCACCGCAGATAACAATCGACTCGAGCGGGTGGTCCAGCCCGTGCGCTTTCCGCTCGGGGGTAATTTGGCCGGCATTCCTCGCACTTTGCTCGCCCTTCTCAAATTCCGGCCGGGGTCGCGATACGCGCTGCTCGGCGATCATGTATCGCCAGGCATTACAGGGGTTCTCGTTCATCGCGCAGGAATGTTAGCGTGCGCAAGCTTCTCTCGCTGACGGATGACGGGGGCTCTCATTGTTCGCGGCCCGGCGCGTACGTGCGCCGCAAACAAAGCGCGGCGACAACTGACAGCGGAATCGGGTGGCCCACTTGGTGGCCATAACAGGATTTGAAGCGCTCTCTTCGCCACCCGTGGCACGTCCCCCTGGCCCCTCTTATCACCACCCCCCTCTTTTGGTCCTGCTTTAATGGCCTCGGCCAGAAGCAGACAGGGCCGCGAGCCACCCTGTTTTCGCAAAACAAGGAATCTCTCCCGGAGAAGCCTCTGATTAGGGACGCGTCAAACCGGGGACAGCGAAGAGCTCGTTGCGCAGCCCTGCGAAAGGACAGAGGCGACAGAGCATTGTCCGAGAGAGATTTATGGCGGTACCCTTCAGCTCCGCGTTCTCCGGTAAACTCCTCCGCTGTCCCACATTTCGAAAGCGGGCGCACATGTCCTATCATCCGACGAATTCTGGCGGTGCGTGCTCACTCACCAGGGTGTCTGTGTACTCGATCAGCTTGTCTTCTTCGATGCTGTCTTTTTTGGCCTCTCGGAGCAAATCCTTCAGGAAATTCTGAAGAGAGAGAGAGAGAGAAGTGACTTTATTTGCACCTGTCAAGCAGGTGACGATGTAGAGGCTCTAGCCTGGGCCTCTGATCATATATCGGAGAAAACGAAGAGAAGCGAACAAACATGCGCAAATCAATGCGCGGAGTATCGGCCTCTTCGGTTATTGTGATACATAGTTTGTACAGCATCGGAGCTCTTGTACACTTTATGTGATTACAGCTTCCAGGATTTATGTCCGAGACATACTGTGTTCACACCAAAAGCCCAAGCATACACGAATCAGGAAAACACACATGTACAAAATATTTCTCAGGGAAGCATGCTTTCTTTTTTTTTGTTTCTTGAAATACAGAAATACAAGCATAAATAGCTGTGGTGCCCCGCCGCGGTGGCGTAATGGCTAGGGTACTCGGCTGCTGACCCTCAGGTCAAGTCATCTAATGCCGGCTGCGGCGGCTGCATTATATGGAGTTGAAAATGCTCTTGACTAATCACAAGTAGTCCTGCCTTGCCTCTGTTATCGCTTTACGAGCATCACAAGAGCGGAAGTTATAGAAACAACGGAAGAATAGACAGACGGAAAGAGGAAGAAAACAGCAAAGATGCTCACTTTCAACTCGTCTGCTTCGATGTATCCACTGCCGTCGGTGTCGTATTCACGCCATATCTGGAAACAGAGAGATGGGAAAAAATTGCATTTTGCAATGTCCTGTCTTAGGTTTAAACACATCCTTGAAGGTATTTTCTAATGATGGCTCTGTTTGCTTAACTGCACAACAAATAATTTTTAATGAGAGAACTGAAAAAAATATCAAGCTGCCGAGTCACAGTAAATTAGGCGCTATAAGCGTTCCTTAGCGAAATTACCGTCTTGCCAGCGTTTGTTGCTATGTCGATACTGTTAAGTTAAAGCGTCTAAAATGAATGGAAGTGTTTAAAACGAATACACTTTCTTGAAGAATCTACTTGAATATCTATTGAAAGACGTACTTAGCCGTTTCTTTTTTTTATCCTAAGAAGCGTAAGTTTCAAAAGATCCCACATACCATGGGATTTGATGTTATGCGCATATCAATACCATGAAGTTAAAGTTTCTAGAATGAACCTACGAGGGTTTAAAATGAATCCACCTTCTTGAAGGACCTGCTTGAATATCTATTGAAAGACGTACTTACATGTTTCTTTTTTTTATCCTAAGAAGCGTACGTTTCAAAAGATCCCACATACCATGGGATTTGATGTTATGCGAAGCATGCGGAGGGTAGGTGACTGCGTGTAATTTTTTTTTGAGCGAGACGTGACAAAATGACGCTGAAGATGTCTACAAATGTTGTTCGCACAGACATATGTTGAATAGTCGAACATGTTTTATATAACCAGTTGTTTAAAGCTTCGCAACGATGCCAACAGAAACATCCGCATTACCAACACCAGATGCGGTAAGTTGATATGTAGCGCTGGTGCTCGAGAGAATGGCCCTTACTAGTGCTACGTATCTAATTTGAATGGATCATGCTTAAGTAAACAATTGACGTTAACCCGACGTGACGCGCAAATGTAATGCTTATAAAATTAGACAACCAGCACTTCAACTACAAATGACGTTTCATCAACATTACGCCTACACTATAGGGCCTTTTCCTAAAACAGTTTCGAGACCTGGTGTGGCTCTGTGGTAGTATCCTTAATTGCCAAGCAGATGTCGGGTTTTCTTAAAGTTCTCGCGTTTAAAGTATACCTTGATCTGTTCTCGCCGTTCCTGGGTAGATACAAACTACCAATCACCTGTGGCGCATACCCTCACGTGGTGTACGACTATGTGCCACATGTGTCTGGAGGAAAGCGGTTGACCACGTGCGCGAAGGTATTTTCACGTTATTCAAGTCAGGACCAGCCAGATAAATCAGCCAAACCCTCTTACCGTCCCATACTGATTTTGGTCTAACCCAAGTTACGGAGGTGACCACGAGAGCATCCAGACGTAGGTGGCTAGACAGACAGACAGACAGACAGACAGACAGACAGACAGACAGACAGACAGACAGACAGATAGACAGACAGACAGACAGACAGACAGACGGACGGACGGACAGACGGACGGACAGACGGACGGACGGACGGACAGACAGACAGACAGACAGACAGATAGATAGATAGATAGATAGATAGATAGAGAGACAGACAGATAAATAGATAGATATATAGATATATAGATAGATAGATAGATAGATAGATAGATAGATAGATAGATAGATAGATAGATAAAAATGCTCAAGGTGCCTGGAGTTCCTTGGGCAGAATTTTCTTTCGTTCTCGATGTTAACTGTAGGTCCAGGCTGTGTTTGACGCGTAAATCATAGGTTTTCGTTTGGTAAGCTTTCAAGTGACACCGTGAAAGCAGTCATGAGCATTTCCACACGTTAACATGGTTCAAGTAAGACGCGATGACAGCGCACAATCGTACGACTCAAAAAAAAAAAAAAGTTGGAGGACGCCTGAGCTTCGCCTTCGAGAGTATAGTACGCGACAGCGTAATATAGGCCCCCGTACTCATTGCTTTCTCAATCCATCATGTCTCGGTAGACACCGCAACCATGCCGCAAGGAAATGAACGTCTGTGCGAACGTCTGTGCGGCCGTTTTAAACCATCCCAGATTGATTATACTGCAAGTACAGTTGCGAAGTGCCCACTGCATCGTAATTTTATCTTTTGCGAATTAGCGAATTACACTCTGCGCGTCTGTAAGGCAACACGCGCGCTTACGCAGCTTCTCACTTTGTTGATGCTTTTGCGGCTGCCATGCAACAATACACGTATTCAGGTGATTCCTCGTGCTACATCACAGGTTTTTCTTTTTTTAAAAAAAATAAATGAATATAAGGAGAGGTGGCCATTGCGGTTGGTGCCACTTCTCTTGACGAAAAGCCGACGTCGCATATTTGGTAGCAAACACAAGGCTATACACAGATACGTAGCTCAACGCTTACGCAATGAGTCCACGTTTTTCAATACTGAAATGTCCACACCACACAGAAATTTGCCCACACCGCAAAAATATTGTAGTGAAACACAAAAATATGGTTATGAAACAAACCGGTTAACAATAACGTTGATACTTTTTCTTTCCTTTTTTCGTTTAGTACTTTTGAGTTGTTTCCGATTCCTCCAGAAAGTGAACTGCATGCTCTGCAGTGGTTCTTTTGGCCATGTACCCAAGATTTTTGCAATTGATGGAGGTCGCTTATCCAAAGAATTTAATTTTAAGGTTGTTTTTTTAAGTTTCTTTTGAGGTCCTTCATAATTTTACAATGTATAAGAATGTGCTCAATATCTTCTTGAGCTTCTCCACATGAGCATGTAGGACTGCCAGCTTTCCTTATTATATACAGAAAGCCCTTCTTGTAGGCCATACCAAGTCGAAGCCTATGAATGACTGTTTTTACCGATCGGCTAACCTTTAACGGAATATTAAATTATATACGGGGATCAATGCTAAATAACTGGCAGTTTTGCGCACCATTTTAGAACCAAATTTTCATAGACAATGGACAGCTGAACTTATTTATTGGGCATCGTGCATCGCTCATTGGTAGAGGTAGCAGTGATATATTATTTTCCTGGTGCTCTCTGCATGTACCATGCGATCAGCTATGTCGTTTCCTATGATTTCACAGGTGCTTGGTACCCACTGCAACATTATGGTGTGGTTTAAACATTTTGCTATAGCGTAAGTTATTTCTATTTCATATGCGAACACGCTAGCTTTGTTGCCCAAGCTGATTACTTTTAAACAAAATAATGAGGACTGTGAGTCCCTGATAACTACTCATCGAAGTGGACCTGGCTGTAAACATATGAAGCGTAAAGCACATAGTACTGCATAGAGCTCTGCCGTTGTGGATGTAGTGAAATGGCTGGGCTTAAAAGCTTTTTTTTTTCGCTTGGTATACAGATACAAAAAATGCCGGCGTAGAGCTTTGATTCATATATCATCCATCGGTGAACACGTGAATAAATTCTTTCTGAAGTATAGTTCCAAGCAGTGTCGTAGGTTGGTCATAGAACGGTGCTTGTTCCACTTCCACTCTAACTGAATGTTTTTTATTATTTTTATTTATTTGCATATATTTAAAATTTTCGCTCACGGACAATGTTTACTTTTTGTTCGGAGCCAACGACGTCGACTCCGGAATATTTGCGAAACGAGCTCTTTAACGCTGTCGCTTAAAAAAAGAAGAAAAAAAACTGTGCGTGCGTGTTTGAGCGGTTGAGGTAGCAGGAAGCTTCAACGTACCAGTAGTCTCCAGCACAATATTTATATACGACCAATAAGTTTCTTTTTATTCCACCTAAACTGCGGTCCTTTACCTGAGCTTCCGGCCGTATAGTGCACTGGCTTTTGACAAAACAGGAAACGCCCAAACACCGGCTTATAAAAATTATAGAGCATGGCGCGAGGCTTTTCGAACTCCATATCAGTTTCGCTCTGTTACTGGCGCATAACGCGATCTTTCAATTGGAGGTTGCTGTTTGATTTGCATTCCCTTAAGCGCCAGGCTTTGTTTTCCACGTAATTCGAAGACGGTGCGCTATTACTTGAGCATGGGACTAAAATTCCTCGACCGCTTATGGGTGATGATTTCTTATTCGTTTAGCCATACTGCACTGTTTACCTGTATCCCACCTCCAGCTGTTTAAATTTGGATACATTGAATCTCGTCACCCAGTCTCAGGTCGAAAAGTTGAGGGAGTGCCTCATGTACATTTACATGGGATCGCAACGTCTACGCCATCTGTTGAGATTACAGGGCTTGAAATAATAATAATAACGAAAAAGAAGGAGTGTAATGAAGAAGAACAGAAAGAGAAAGTGAGGAGGGGAGACGGCAGAAAGGGAGCAGTCGAAGGTCGTGTGTTGACTCGGCTTGATTTTTGTTATGCGGCCCAATATGACAAACGTTGTGACCACATAGGGAGCTCTAAAGCGAGTCGCGTTTCACTTGCACACTTCAATGCTTTGTGTCGTTAGCCTCTTGTTACTTTTCATTTCTTCGGCTCAAACGAGAGAGAGAGAGAGAGAGAGAGAGAGAGAGAGAGAGAGAGAGAGAGAGAGAGAGAGAGAGAGAGAGAGAGAGAGAGAGAGAGAAGAAAAACGAACGCAGTAACGAGATCTTCATTTCATGCGTTGATCGACTCCGTGCTCGTATAACCCCGCTGAACCGGCGGTCGGTGCAGTACTGGCAAGAGCGGGACGGAGATTCCTGCGATGTTTGCTTCGGAAAGCCAGGCAAGAACGGCTGTCGAACACACGTTAGTCAGCTTATTTTTCCAGATTCTTCGTTTCCTCTTTTCTGCAAGGATAAATTTTCGCCGCAGTTATTATTAATATTTTTTTTTTGCGAGAAGGCTCGTTGCACGGGGCAACAAGAGAAAACGGGCCGCTGCAGCGCTATAGCTGCCAATCGGCAGTGAACTAAATTAACGCCGAAGAACCTCGGAGCAAGTACCACGCGGCGCTGTTGGAAAAAATGAATAAAAAGAGAGAGAGAAAAGGAATTTCGTCTAACTTAGAGTGCGCGTACAAAAGCCCCAATCATTTCCAACACTTTTGAAGCGCCTGCAGTGTGCCGTTGACATCTGCCGTTCGTCTTGCGATGGAGCGCTCC